CCGCCTTGATACCAAAATCGTGCTTGTCGACTTCAATGCCAGGGTGGGCAAAGAAGGGATCTTTGGAACCACCGTCGGAAAATTCAGCATCCACGATAAAGCGTCCGACAACGGACTAAGACTGATCGACTTTGCCGGGGCCCGATACATGGTAGTATACATAAAAGGATCCATCAAGCTACGTGGTTGTCTCCAGAAAAACAACAAGAAAAATCAATCTTGTTGTTATAGACGGAAGGCATGCTTCCAGTATTTTAGACGTACGTACACTCCGAGGCCCACACCTCGACTCGGACCACTATCTTGTTGCAGCCAAGATAAGCACCCGTCTCTGTGCAGCAAAAATGTGCGCACAAATATGCAAGGAAAGTTAAACGTCGAAAAGCTGCATTCATAACAGACAGCCAATGAATTCGCTACTCGACTCTCACACCTGCTCACAGAGAGCACTATTCAACAAACCGACATATGCGAGCAGTGGAACCACATTTCCCGCTTAGTAAGCACCGCCGCCGAAGAAGTAGTTGAATTTCAGCCAGCCCGAAAGAACAACTGGTACGATGGGGAGTGTCAGGAAGCGGCAGAGAAAAAAGATGCCGCCTACAGGGCCACGCTGCGATCGGGTGCAACGCACGCTTTGTGGGACCGGTATACGGATCTGAAGAGGGGAATGAAGGAAGAATGCCCGAAAAGTTTACCAAAGAGTTAGGCGACTTACAAAAGGTTTCAAGACCAAGGCGTCCTCCTGTAAGAACAACAATGGCGACCTAGTTACCGATGTTCAGAACGTACTTAAATTATGGAGGGAACACTTTTCCACCCTTCTGAATGGTAGCAACATGGAAATTTGTGGAGAAGAAGAACCCAAGCCCCCAGACGAAGATAACAGAGTCGATGTTCCTCGCCTGACTATAATGAGGTACGATTAGCAATACCCCGGCTGAAAAACAACAAAGTTTCTGGAGCTGACAGCCTGCCAGCTAAGCTATTCAAGTGCGGTGGCGAGGAGTTAATAAGGTGCATGCATCAACTCTTATGCAAAATAGGGTCAGAAGAACGCTTGCCTGACGACTGGAATTTAAGTGTGCTCTGCCCAATCCACAAGAGAGGCGACCCCGCCAATCGCGCCAACTACCGCGGTATCAGCCTTCTAAGCATAGGTTACAAGGTATTATCGTGCGTATTGTGTGAAAGACTGAAGCCCAATAGCAACGAACTGATTGGACCTTATCTGTGTTACTTTAGACCTGGCAAATCCGCCATAAATCAAGTTTTCACAATACGCCAAATCTTTGAAAAGACCCGCGAGAAAAGAGTCGACACTCACCACCTATTTGTCGACTTTAAAGCCGCTTTCGACAGCACTAAAAGGAGTTGTCTATACGCCGCTGTCTGAATTTGTCATCCCGTCAAAACTTATACGGCTGTGACGTTGAACAATGCCAACAGCTGTTGCAGACTTATAGGCTCTTTTGGGACTTACCACATTTTCTCTTTATGACTTTGTTCTTTTAATGTGAACTTGGCACATTTTCTATCAACCTGTTTTTAATTATTTTTTATTGTTAAAAGATTTCGTTTTTTTTTGTTAAAATTTATTTTATTGTTTAAAAATGATTAATAACCTGATACAGTCTTATTTCATTGCTGTTAACAAAAATAACTATTTTATATTACGCCTTATCATGAGTTTCATTTTCTCCGAACCGGTTCACTTTTCACGTTTGGTTTCCATGTATTTATTATGGGCGGAATACAAATTTTCGGGTGCAATTTTTTCGGCGAAACTCAGGATAAGGCAGATTGATTTATCACAGTTTTCGTGTGTCTGTAAATTACCGTTATATGGTAGATGCGCGTACTCAATGCCCGATTTCAAAGATTTTCAACAGATTTCTTAGCTAGGCCCTAAGCAAGGCTCGTACTGAATTTAGTAAGGCTTGATGAATGGGCTACTGAGATACAGGATTTCATCGTTAATGGGAGGGGTCGCGCCCATTTTCCAAAAATTGTTTTCCAAAATTCTATTAACCATACTAATTTTCAACAACTTACATCCAATATTTACTGAAATATCTTAGTTCTTGTATTTTGCGATAATACCTTTATATGTGAAGTGGGCGTAGTTACAGTCCGATTTCGCCCATTTTTTCTTGTTTTTTTTTTTGACTTAGCACATTTGCATACCACTGCATAACAACAAGTAAGAACGACATTACGGATACTTTTTTTTTTGTAATGATGTATTTTGAGTTGTGCTATCTAACTGCTTTAAAATCTCAATTTTCATAAAAAGTGGACTTAGCGCGTTTGTGAACGATATGTATTCTTGTTATTGTGCCAATTGAATATTTGAAATTTCTAGAGCACTGCCAGGCAGCTAGTAGCCTCGCGAGGCTATGTATGCGTTTGTATTATGCCTGGCACTGTTCTGGGCCATTAGAAGGAAAATTTCTTATGCTTATATTTTGTCGGTAACAAAAGGTATGTACATATGTATACAGAAGCTCAAATACTAATTTATTCATATTTTATTTGTTTTTTCGTGATCATCACCCATGTCCGCCTCTTCACTTTTGCGGTACTCCGCATAGTCCACATACCCATCATTATTCAAATCCATTCGCTTTAACACATAATCAACTATCTCAGACAAGTTTTCATCAGAATACACTTTGCCTGACTCTTCCGTGGCACCGTCATGTTGTTGTGGTAGTGGTTGCTCCGTCTTTTTGCCATGTGCATCTTGTTGTTGTGGTAGTGGTTGCTCCGTCTTTTTGCCATGTGCATCTTGCACTAAGATATAAAAGAATAAATATTAATTTAATATACATATTTTGTATTTAACCAGTAAAGATTGAAACAATATCAATGATGGGTATTTTTTTACCTAAATAAGCACACCAAAAACCATACCCTGCTAACTGCATCTGTTGTAAAATATTGAAGCTTTTCATGTTGTTCTAACTACTGCACCAAGTAAACGAAACAGTGAAATCTTAAAAATTAATGATTGCGAATATATGTATTTTAAATAAGAAATTACTCATTTTGTTTCGATTTTATTATTATTGATTTTCTTTGCGAAATTGTACCACAATCAGTCATATTTCGTTTGTATAACCCTAAAGATCTCTTTTTCTATTTTACGTCATTAATCAGATCTCGTTTAATCTTTATTTTCTTCAAAGTGTTGTAGAAAATTTAAATTAATTAACATTACATGTCGTTTTTATGAGCAAAGTTCTGAAATAGATATAAAGCAAATTAAATGAGACATATGTATGTATGTATAGAAGCTTTCAAAGGCTAGTAGAGAAGCCATATTCGAGTTGAAAAAGCTGCGAATTTAACATAATATTTGTTCGTATGTAAAGCTTGTTCGTATGTAAACTTGGAATGATCAAAATCAAAACGAAACACTGTTGGAAAAAAATTTGTGTGCATCCTATTAGTGAAGATGCTCTTCCAAAAAGTATCCATTGTTTTAACAAACTAAAAACAATTGACATTAATTTAAATCACATTTTTGCGGCCAATCACTCTGCTTTAAGTTATGCCGGAAATCCCATAAGCAAAGGTTTAAGAGTTTTTAGTAACACACTACTGTCCACTTTGAGGTTGCTGTTGTTGTTGTTTTTGTTGAGATGCCGCCACAGCCTTTTGTTGCGCCTTTATAAATTCAGGATAATCGATGTAACCATCGCGTGAAGTATCATCCATTTGTAGAATGGGATCAATTAATGCCACTAACTCTTCATCTGAGAAGATTTTCTCTTCTACATGTGGCGCCTGCTCATTGTGTTGTTGCTCCTTACTTCCTTGCTCTGTTAGTAAAAATCATTTGATTCAAGCCACCGTATGCGTATTCGATGAACATTCGTTTGATTTAATGAGATGTCGTTATTTAATTGTTTTAACCATACCAAGAAGAGTTAGCGATGAGCGGTAGCAATGGTGGTTGATGAGAAACAAAATGATGCAATTTGATGCAAGTACGTTGTAACAAAGTCATGGATTCACATGTAAATAAAGGGCCAAAACACACATAGTTATACAAACGGTTTGTTATATAAATGATGTATGTTTATGTAAAAATATGAATTTTTTATAAAATACATATGTATGTATGTATTTTTTATGTAGCAACAAAGGTTAAAAAAATGATAACATTTAGCTTTTCGGGAAAATACCATCATTGGCGAATTCGTTAGAAAATTTATGCGATAGGACAAGGGAGTATCACGGTTTATGAAATATTCAGACAATTGTGGGCCAAACGATGTACCGGGAAGGGGAAATCACTACCCTTTTGCGTGATGAGCGCCGAATTTTTCAATCTCAAGGAAAGCAGCAGAAAATAATATAATATACAGAGTTCTGATCGAGTCTTCAAATGTTTGTGGATTATTACCTCATCATAAGAAAACTCGGGTTCATTTCCTCAGAGACATACGCGTGGAGTGGAAGAAAATATGCATTTTTGCGGCTTGCATTTATCATAGCTGAACGTAAACATACCTACCAGGTAGTTTTTCCCACGATTAATATTTATATTTAGAAGATATTGATGGATTAGGCTTTTCTGAAAGAATTTACGAAAGAAATAACGATATTATTGAAAGTGAGATTGCATCGATGGAGGGGAGTATTAGCTAAGTGAGAGGGTACATTAAGAAACGATTGGTGTCATGGTGGCTTCACCAATGCCTAGATCTTGTCCGTGTGTTCGCGGAAATTCCATCTGACGTGCTGGAAGGTGGCTTTGCTTACAAAAAGTATCTGTTAAAGTGTTCTCTGCGGTAGCAACCGACCAGATCATCAAATTGTGCCACCTAAATGCGAACATTGCGTAGGTGGCGCTCGGGCAACAACAGAAAAGATACCAGCGATGAATAAACAAGCGCAAAAATATTTAAAACCGGGCGTCAATTTGCCTTGTATACAGTTACACCTGTGGGCGATTTGGAAGCCTTTGAAGAGGCGAGAAAAATTTTTTTTTCGAATTCTTTAATCCTTCTGCGCTACGAGGTTTGATCTCAAAACATTTCTAACGGCTGTTTTGGTCCTTGTGAAGGAGAGAGTGCGTCAATGTCCTCCAATAACCTGTAATGACAGATGGTGACGAACGCTTTGTATAAGTCCAGCGCTACCAGCTCTCTCGCAGGTGTGGGTGCGGTTAAACCCGCGAGTGTTTATGGACCTGGGTGATCATGGCATTGAGTGCTGTGATTGTACTAAGCATTTTACGGTGAAATACGAGAGTAGCATGACCCCAAGTGTCTTTGTTAGTTGGTGTCCGCGACTTAAGTAGTGGACCCACCCTCCCTATATTTCACAATCCAGGGTGGTGATTACACGATTTTGACGATGTTTCATAATTATTAGTGAAAACCAGTGCATGTACTTAGGTTTATCGAGCCTTAGCTGCCAAAAATATGTACGTAAGCGACATTTTTTTTCTTCAAATTTTTATTTTTGATGCAAAAGTGCATCTAGCTACTCTGGGAAGATTCCTGCACCAAAAGCTGTTATGCTTACGATTGCCGAAAAGGCAAAATGTACTGTAGATATTCATTCGTTGGTATTAACAAAATCCAATGCTAGTATGATAAAATAAAACGTAATCTCAACACATACATACATACATAGTACATAGTATACGTACAGTTGTCCACAAGTAATAGGAGTGCCGTTTATTATCTTTTTATAAGTGTAGTTGGTTATACAATAAACACCATATAATAGCCCTGTAAAATTAGACCGTTTCTTAAAAAAAAAAAATTTAACAGCAATTTTTTGATGCAGTTTACTTCTATTTGACACGTATGTGTATGTGCTATGTGTATCGCGTTCCCGGCCGTGATCTAAGCGTCGTACAAAAAAAAATGTTGGCACAAATGTTTTGGAGAATGAAATTCTCTACAACCTTGGAATTTCAATATGCTATGTATTTTCAACAGAAATTGTCAAAAATGGCTAAAACCGTGACGATGTAAAATTATTTCATTTTTGCCTAATTTTTTACAATAAAATTGCTATTTTTAAAAAACCTTCTGTATCGTAAACGTGGGAAATGAAATTCCCTACATATTTGTATTAAACCATTTTTTACGAAAAAAGCAAAATAAGCTTGCAAATTGGAAAAAACCCAAAAAAAACTTAAATCCAAGATGGCGAAATGTTGCCAAATGAAATTTAGGGGCAAGACTTTGGATCCATGATCTACGTGTCAAATAGAAGTAAACTGCATCAAAAAACGCTCTTACAATTTTTTTTCAATTATCCTACTAATTTTACTGGCCTAATAAGCTTACATTTAAAACTTAGTACGAAAATTATAAAAATGCTGCAAAATTTTCACGAAAATTTCAAACTTTTTAATCAGAATCTTTAGGAAAAATCTTGGTATGCGGTTTTGAAAATTTCAAACTTTTTAATCAGAATCTTTAGGAAAAATCTTGGTATGCGGTTTTGTAGCCCATTTATTTCTGATATAACAAAGTGCAAGTTTCAAGTTAGTAAAAAATCTTGATTTTTGGGAATTTTTTGGTTGAATGTGTTTCACGTTTTTTCCATGCAAAGTACATATCGAACACCTATGTATGTAGATCTAAAGTGGGTTAACTCAAAATTAACAGAGGTAAATTTAACAGCTAGTAGATCGTACAAATTCAACGCAATTAATACAAAAAAGGGTAAAACAGTAGTTTTTTAGTTAATGTATATCGTCGATGCTTTTGCGAAACCGCCCATCGACCAGATGCAAACCCGCCTAAATCGCCCTGAACTCCAGGCATCGAGATTTATGCATAAAAACCGTCCAATCGTTATTAAAACAACAGATTTGTAAAATAATAGCTAGAGAAAATACCGCCTATCAAGGCAGTGCCTTCAAAGAATAAACCTCCTTTTTTCCCTCTCCTGTGAAATTTTAGTTCCGTAAGATAGGCGGTTTTGCAATTGGGCGATGGGCGGTTTTGTAAAAACATCGACGATATATTTATGTAATCATAAAGAAAAAAATATTTCCATTAGTTGGATGAATAGATTTATACAAAAAAAAATCGCTCAACAATTTTTATTTTGAGCTGATCGCACTTAAGATCTTAGGTATGCGATATGTTCGATGATTTTCTTTTATATGGTGAGGCTGCCGGCAAAAAAAAAAATGCCAAAAATGGATGGGATTTTTCAGCAACTTGAAACTTGCACTTCATTAGACTAGAAATGAATGGACTGCAAAACTGCATACCATGATTTTTTAAAATTCTGATTAACAAGTTTGAAATTTTGGTGAAAAATCGCACAATTTTTATAATTTTTGTACAAAGATGGAATTTGAATTTATTTGGTGTTTGTTGTATATCCTGCTAGATTTGTATCAAAAAATAATAAACATTAAATAAACAAAAGAAAAATTGCGAAAATGTATTAAAATATCGCACTCGTATTATTTTGTGGACCACTGTATGTACATACGTGTGTGGTTGCAAGGACTCTACCGACACCATGCCATACCAATTAAGCATAAATAAATAAATATATTGGCAATTTAAAAATAAATAAAGTTACCATGCCAGTGGATAAGTGATTTTATTAACTCGCAGCCATCTAACTTGTTGTTGTTATCAGAATCATGCATTTTAAAGTAGTGAAATTGGAGCTCAGCTTCCGACATTTTGTTCGTATCGATTGGAATCTGCATATGCTCCTGAATATGGCTATGATAATAGAAAGAACGAATATTAATATTTTATAAAATTGTGCTCATGTACAATACGTGATATAAGCATACATATCGCTTCCTTAATACACAGAGGCCCTAACCAGCAATTTTTTTTTATTTTACAGGAGAAGCAAAAAAACATACAAATCAAATCATGCATACAAACGGTGACCATTCGTACCGATTTTGGCGGGACAGTACCCATTTTGAGAAAATCGTCACGCTGAATAATTTTTTAAAAGTTGGGACGTATAACTGTCCGGATTTTTCATACTTGTACCGATTAAGTCCCGATTTTCAGTGTTTTCTTTATTATTAATAGATTAACAATAGTCTCCCTCTACTGTGGAGCAAAAACGATTTTTCTGACAAAAGTGGCAAAAGCGCGGCTGACTTCTTACACGTTTCAATCGATCCACTTTTATTTCTCATGCTCGAAATTCGCATCCCCGCGTTAATTAAATCTGCACCCAAAATTTTTTTTTCATTCGGACACTTACTTTCAAAGAAAAATAAAAAAAATCCAAAACACTGCAAATTTTTCAATTGTTGATTTAAAAAAAAAAAACTATTTTGAATTTTGTAACAAAATCTACGCAGTGTACTTTTCGACTACAAAGCCTAAATATCATTGAAAAATATTAATCTTGGTAAATTCGGGGCCCACTTGAGGAACATTTGCATATGTAAACAACATTTTTGTCACTTAAAATGTTTATTAACCGACATCCAAAAAAGGAGGAGGTTATCAGTTCGTCGGAATATTTTTTTTTTATGTATGTTTTTGTACATATATTTCCCTCTCTGAATTTTGAGTTAGCTCACTTTAGATGTAGATGTGTGATATATTTGCTATTCAAAGGGAAGATGAGTACATTAGCAAGGAAGAAATATTTTTTCTTTCGAAGCCAATTGACAGATCGTTCGATTTTTTTACACATCAACGTACATTTCTGCGTGTTTCTGCGTACTTAACTTGAAAATTTTCAAGATTACGACATTCTTAAAGTAAACCGCTGGCATGTAACTTTGTGTTTCATTTTGTAAAACGTATTTTCTAAAGATAAGGCATAATCACTGTTCTTATACAGAAGTGCTGATAACAATTAAAGAAGATATATCGATTTATACGCATGGGGACTTGTCAGCACTTTTATAGAACATGGCGCAATTATCATGTAGAGAAAAATGAATGTTGTTACTTTGGTATAGGAATGCCCTATCATTTTTTTTAATACTGCTTTGTTGAAAATACGTAAGATTACCAGAGCTTAAAAGCAATCACTATAGCATTAGGGTACCTAGTTATAGTCCTTAGTAAAAAAGCCTTTTAAAGAAATTCGCAAACAAAGAACGGAGTTTTTTAATCACTCCACAAAGAAAAAAAATGTAGGTTGGGCCTTTCTATATTATGGTAACAACGAACCATATTGTTTTATACATAATTGTAATATTTAGGAATGGTAATGGTTTCCACTTACGCTCTTTCATGTTCCATATTGGCTGCATTTAAAACTTGCTGCTGCCCATGGTGTGCCTGATGAGGCGCATGTGGTTGGTTTTGCTGCAGTGATGGTTGTGGAGGCTGCTGTTGAAATTGTGGTTGCTGTTGCTGTTGGATTGGTTGTTGTCCTTGTTGTTGATACTGTGGTTGCTGCTGCTGTTGTACAGGTACCTGCTGATATTGCACTTGCTGTTGTTGTGGTTGCTAAATTTTGTTTTAAACTCATTTAACACACAAACATACATACGCACATCTATGAGGAATGTAAGAATTTTAATTGTACTCACATAGGTTTGAGGCGGAACATTGGGCGCATGGTGAACTTGCTGCTGTTGGTATTGGGGTTGAGAATTATGCTGCACTGGAACTTGTTGCTAAATATTTTTCCAATATGCGTTAAAAAAAAAACTTGGAAAACATTCATGTCACTTACGTAGTGTTGCGGAGGAACCCCTGGAGCCACACGTTGAGCAGTCGTAACTCCAAATAACATGAGCGAAAACAGCATCAGCGAAAAAGCTGCCAACTGTTTTTGTTGGAACGAGCATCTTGTTTGTGAACGCATTTTGGCAAACCTACGTGAAGTAGGCAGGGAAGCACGGCAGTATATTAAACCAATTTGTTCTGTTATCTTCTCACAGACCAATGCAGTGTTCATTCAATACAAAGTGCCAGACACTTGCAGTTGGGTAGGATTTGAGCAACCACGTCAAAAAACAAGATCAGAGAAATCCACACGTATACAACTTCGAAATGTCAATGGGATCGTTCAATGAATTCACAATGACATATTTTAGGGATGCACAACAAATTAGGAATAGCAAGTCGAAACTAAAGTATCGATATGGTACACTACATTATGTACAGACAGTGTTATCGAAATAAAAAGCCTCGATACCAACTATGTACATATACAAAATTGTGTATTCCAATTTCTACTTAGGTATAGAAAAACAATGAACTCTGGATAAAAGCTAATATTTTATACAACCAAAAACCTTTTTGTATATAACTGTGGTAAAAAAGAGAGAACACGTGATTTAGTGAATTTTTGTTGAGGTAACTGCCCATACAAAACAACGAAATTTAACAAAAATTTTTTGTTTATAACTATTAAATGGTTAATAATATAAACCTTGTGCCCTTGTACAGGGACCGAAACGCTTCGATTGGAACCCCTACCGACCAAATTACCCTAACTTATTACTTATAACAAAACAAAAAGTTTGTTTAAAATATTATGCTCATAAAAATTTGGTATTTTTTTTTTAGGTTTGGTATAAATTAAAAATTTTACACTGGTTACGATTCGAGCCCGTTTGATTAATCATAGGCATGATAAAAATATGTTTTTATCATGATCGTAGGTACTGAACACACTCAAAGATATAAAACGTCACGGTTGACAGAACAATTTGCAAAATTGTAATATTTGTTTTCGGAGGATATTTTTATTTTCGGTTTAAATTATCTATTATTAATCAAATATACCTTTTTGCATATATTATATACATACGTACAGGTGTATATATTTTTCATATTTTAAATAAGAAAATAAAGCGATTTCCAACATCTACATAGAGGCATCTCGATATGGTACGCAAATGTGAAAGTTTAACAATCTAAATAAACGGTGAATTATAAAAGCATTTATCTGATAATTTTACTATTTCACAGGCACGTTATTTCAAGGAGCAGGACATTGATGGTATGTATGTATAAATACTGTTTGTTTTATTAGGATTCACAAATTACAGACTTCCCTAAAAGGAGGTTAAAACGCTTTCTCCTTGCGCATTTTAGATATGTATGCATGACCTTTGTTATTTTTTAATAGAGTTTCGCGAATGCTTCTACCTGTTCGCACGGTCTGGACAGATCAATACGTTGGATGAGTTGACTGTAATTATGCGGTCTCTTGGATTATCGCCCACAATTCAAGAGTTAATTGCTTATTTGAAGAAGAAAGGTGGCAAAATGAGTTTTGCAGATTTCCTTGAAATTATGCATCAACATTCCAAAGTAGAGAAAATTCCCGATGAAGTTATTGCCGCATTCAAAGCTACCGATCCCCAAAATACGGGAACTATACCAGCCAGACAATTGCGAAACTTATTACAGAATTGGGGAGAGGGTTTGTCAGTACGCGAGGTATATATGTTAAACCGCATTTCAGATCTATCTGAACACTAATATATGTACATATTTCCAGGTCGACAATATTTTTCGCGAAGCTAATGTAAACAATAACAGCATGGTTCGATATGCAGATTTCATTAAAATTGCTTGCGCACCAGTGCCGGACTACTATTGAAAACCCATTCATACATATCTAATGGCAATCGCCGTAGAAATTTCTTTAATTTAAATATTCCCAATTTGCATATTTTCGTGCTTATTTTTCCAAAAATTATTTTATTTATATCCAATTAAAAGTCGGTATTTCTAGTTCTCTGTGCAAGTATATGTATTTTATTGTACAAAAATTATACACGTTCTTAGTTGGCAATGGTAACCTCTACCTCTACGCCAGCCTCGATGTTAATTGAGGTGATCTTCTTTACAATCTCCGAAGGTGAATGCAAATCGATGATACGCTTGTGGATTCTCATCTGAAAAAAAAACCGAATTTGTAGTATTGGATATACACAAGTATGAAACTGTTCATATGTAGGCGAAAATTTGTAAAACTCGGAGAGCCACTACAAAGTGGAATTATTCATAGTGGACTATGCGAGTGCGTTTAATATAGGCAAACAAATAGATACTGAGCTGAGTGTAAGGATGACAAAACTCCATATCAAATTTGCCATATATATATATATATATATATATATACATCACGTGACGTATGTATATGTACATAAATGCATGTGTAAAGTAAAAAGAACAATTTTTATGGTCTCGCCTACATAACGATTCAGTTTTGTTTCTGCACACAGACTGCCAATTAAGCAGACATCAAAAGTTTTATGGGTATATTATTTGCTAATGCAATTCAATTTTTACCTGGAAGCGATCCCAAGTCTTGGAACCTTCACCACAAGGAGTTTTACGAGTCGTAATGCGTAGAGTTTTGGTTGGCATGCGTACTGGGCCCTGCAATATAAATTAATAGTTAAGAATAATAATCTCAAGTTAGCATTAGTTATACGTGTAGCTTGAACATAAATAATTTTTTAATGCACTCATATAACATTGAAAAATAATGTCCAATCCAAGCCGAATATAATCTGGCACTAATTTAAAGACTAGACTAAGCTCTCAATTGAAGACAAAGCCTCCAGGTAAGTGCCGAAAAATATACATATATATTGCAAACAGACAAGAGACACCTACCTTGACGCGAAGATTCTGATTCTTCGCGCTATTTATCAGATCGCGACACACATTTTCTAAAGAACGCACGTTCCTGGAAGTCAACGTGATGCGAATGCGGTGAACTGATGCAGAATCAGCGCCTTGGGGCTTTTCGATATCCTTGGGAGCAGCAGCCTGCAAAATAAAAATTTGAGGTTATGCGTGTAAACTTACACGTGTCAATATATATCTCAATGTTTAAAGAACTTTAAGAATGTTGCAAAATTATCTTACAATTTCATACTAGACCACAAATAAATTACCATTTTTATTAAAATTTCTGGTCGAGGTATTCAAATGCTTGGCTATTGAACAGCGCTGAACCAGAGCTGGGAACGAAGTGAACGAGAAATTAGAGCTGGAAAACCATCCCTGGGACTATCGATAGTATCGATAGTCTGTAACTATAATGAACCATCGATAGTTTTTCGCAACCTTCGATACTGTCGATCTTTTTTACGTAGAATATGTCTACGGTCGGTGTTATGCAGAAATTTTGTTTGGCAAACTGCGTGCAACTGTTGTTGCAGCAAACTCGGAGAGAGCGAATTTGGCGACTCTCACAGCAAACTAATTTTGTTTGGTCAAACTGCAGGAAATTCGGTGTTGTCATATACAAAGATTTTAGACAATTGTTGCTATACACAAAAGTTGCCGTGATACCGAAAGCCAGAGAACTGAATTTATGCTGTAGGAGCTTAAAAGATTAGGGCACAGTTAATGGGCCTGAGCACACTAGCCTTCTCAGTCGGACTGAGCAGTCCACCACTCGAACGCACACTGGACTGGGCAGTCGGCCGAAAACAGGTTTCAGTTTTGTATACATGAACTACGCAGGATTTTGTTAGTGCATATGGCACATGAAAACAAAACGAAATAGAAAACACGTTGTCTATGTGTGCGTGTCAGTCCACCGTCAATCCGCGATTTTCGCGGACTGAAATGAGCGAGGTAAACTCGGACTCTCTTCCCCCTCTTATCCACACAAAACCGGTTTTAGGCGGACTGAGCAGTCCAGTGTGCGGAGGCCTATTTGCCTATACGATATAAAAAATATATTAATTGTGCGCGTTATGTACATCTGAAATTCTGATTTCGTGTTGGCAATAGCCATGAAAACCATAATGAACGTGCAACCCTGTGCCAAACTCGGCATAACCACCTCCGAGCAAACTAAGCAGCCGCCATTTAATTTGGCAAACAAAAGTTTGTCTGCATAACACCAACCTACGTTTCGATATAGAGGCTATGCTCATCAAATGGTGTAGTTGTAATATTTAGAGCTTCACAAAAACACTTATTGCACAAGAACTAGTGAAGCGATTTCAAAGAAACGTGTGGCGTTTCAAGAAAAAAAACCAAACAGATACATTTTAATAAGTAACCAATTCGGTATCTGTCGTAGAATCACCGGTAAATATTGGCTTATTTTGGAGCCAATTTTGAGCCTTTAAAGTGTTCTAGCAACCTATAATTCGCAGATATAACTTTCGTTTTCAGAATGTAGGTTCTTTAGAGCAATAGCAATAATTGTTGTTTCTGTTGTTGTAGCGGCTACAACGACCACGCCCAGATCAGTTAGTCCCTCAATCGTTGTTGTCAAGCTCCATTAACGGCAGCCCTAGGAAGCGTGCAGCCTCGACGGGGTCTGTCCATAGGGACAGTGGCGTTAGCATGGTGGGGTTTAGAGGGCATACGAAGAGGTGCTTTGAGTCATGGGCGACCCTCCGCATGGCGGGCATTCGATGAGAATATCTTCGTTTAATGTGCACCGGTATGAGTTCAACCTGCTGCAGTAACCAGAGCGCAGTTGGGCTATTATGGTCCGAGTCTCGCGAGCAAACGAAGTTCTGTCTCGTCCACGTCTGATGGTTGTGTGCCCAGAACGGCTTTCACAGGCCGGGAGTCTACAAACTCGAAACTGCCTCTCTGTGAATGCCGTTCAAGGCCTGTCAATAAGCAGTCGGTACAGAGGTTCTTTGATGAGCCTCTGGACCTCGTCCGTCAGTTCATAGGGATGCCTCCTGACGTGCCTGGGCGAAGGCTCTTCTGCAAGGGGTTGCCTGTTTGGATGGCCACATCTGTGGCCCCCAACCTGGAACTGCCTGTAGAGCATTATGTTACGCCCCCTTAACAGGGAGCATGTAGGCCTCGTGCAGGTGGTTTTCGGCGACATAAAGAGCCATCCTGTCGCTGTCCTAAGTGCCGTATTCTGGCAAGTCTGCAGATTCATCCACTGCGCCCTACTAGTCCCCTGTGACCACACGGGCGCAGCGTAGTACAGAATCGGCCGGCCAATTGCCTTGTGCGTTGCCGGCAATGTTTCTTTGTCTTTGCCCTAGGTCCTGCCGGCTAGCGACTTGAGGATCTTGATGCGGCTTTGTACTTTGTTGACAATTGCGGTTGTATGCGCCGAGAAGGAGAGCAGACTATCGAATGTTACTCCGAGTATCTTAGGGTTGTTCACCGTCGGAATTGGTGTATCATCGACATGAATTCCCAGTTGGAATCTGACCTCCTTCGTCCAGCTGGTAAAAAGTGAGGCTGAGGATTCTGTAGGGGAGAGGGTTGGGATCCGTGCAGTGAAGAAGCGGGAAATATCTGCGAGATAACCATTTACTTTCGAGCACAAGAACTGAGAATCGTTAAGTGCTGTTGTTGGGCTGTGCACTTTACGGAACCCATGCTGATGCATCGCTGGGGTCAGGGGTTTGTAAAATACGGGAGTAGCAAGGCCTCTAGTGCCTTCGTTACAGGGGAAAGAGGATTATCGGACGATAAGACTCTCCTGTTAGCTGGTTTCCTCGGTTTGAGCAGTGGGACCACTTTCCCCATCCTTCCTGATGTCTGGAATGACGAGAGTGGCGATGGACAAGTTGAGGACGTCCGTAAAGCTGGATTTACATGAGGCGATTTTCTGGGCGATTCAACATTGCTCCAGAAATATCGCCCGTGTAAATAGTGATTCAAAAATCGCTTGCCTCAAAGTAGACAGCAAGTCAACTTTTGCAGGCGATTGTCACCTGTCAAAAAATCACCTCATGTAAAGGCAGCTTAAAGCTCCGCTACTCCCGTAGGACCCAAATTTTTCAGCATCAGCATGCATATTCCGTCGGGTCCAATGGCTTTGGAGGCTTTCGCCTTCCCGATGGCTATCCTTACCTCACCGCTGGTGAAAACAAGAGGCGCACTTGGTCACTGGACGTTTCGCTTTATCCACCGGAAGATGCAAGATGCACTGCCGACCAAAATAGCTCACTAATCACTCCGAGTCCAACGAAGCGTGTTCACCAAAGTATATTTCAACTCTGTCGTCACGCTTCGTCGGGTTGGACAGTGACCTTACTGTTGACCAAAGCTTACTCACACCAGAGGCGAAGTTGCAGGTCTTCAGATGCTCTTCCCATTTCTTCCGCTTATGTACGTTCAAAATTTGCTGAATCCCCGAGTTGAGATCTCTATTACGGGGATTTCCGGGATCAGCCTGACGAAGGTTGTCGCGCTCATCGGCTTGGACAGCCGCTTCTGCAGGAAAATTAGGACGAGGGTCCGAGATGTATCCCGCTGTGATGAAGTGGGCTGCAGTAGCAGCGACAACTCTTACGTTCACCTACGTAAACGTCGGTTGGTATGGGTAGTGCAGCGAAGGCGCTTTCAGTAACATCCGCGAAGCCTTTCCAATCAGCTCTAGAAAAGTTGACATAGGTCCGGTAATGTGCGGAAGCAAAGTTTGCTGATTTATCAATCGATATGATTATGGGCAGATGGTTTGATGCTAAAGTCAGCATAGGTCGCCATGAGACGCTGTTTATCAGACCAGCGCTGACTATTGTTAGGTCTGGCGAGCTGCAGTAGCGGCCGATAATCCTGGTGCGTGCGTCGTCGTTCATTGTGCAGAACGTCGAATGGTCTATCTGATCAGCCAATTGTGTTCCCCTACGATCGCTTGACAGGCTTGAATGCCAAAGATCTTGGTGCGCATTGAAGTTACCAACTATATTCATTCAACCTATTTCATTACTGCATGGTGTGGCGCGTGATGAACGCTAGGCCTAACCATTATCTCGCTCGCGATCTTGACGGTATCCGTGCATCTTCGTCTCTTGGACCGCAGCTATTAATATTCCGCGCCGACCCATGAAGACCGTTATCTCCTTGCTCTGAAGTCTGTTACAGTTGAATTGTAAAATCTTCGTGTGCCCGCGGATACTTATTGGAATGTGGGTTGTTAGTGATGTGTGTTGCCGTGCCGCACATGCTGTGCTTGCTGCTGCTGAGACTTTTGCTCTGTGGTGTTAGTGGGCGGCATCGCAGTTGGGGGTTGCGACCGGTCAGCACAGCATGGGCCCTCATAGTCCCTCGTCCAATTTCTCGTGGTGCGCAGTCTTGAGCATGCCCTAAAGTGACACCAGCCAAGGCAGGTATTGCACTTCACTGATGTCACATTACGGAATATCCTGGACTGACACACCGTAAAGATTGTCGGAGGAACTAGGAGTTGTTGGCGGTGGCGTGTGGGTGGTGGTGCAGTTGTATCTGTAGTGTAGTCTGTTGTGTCTGTGATATTGTCTATTGTAATGGGTTGTGGTGCGGTTGCGTTTGTGTTGAGTTGCTCAGGCGGACTCTGTTGTGTCGGGGAGGCAGCTCAATTGGCGCAGAAGGGGTCACGTACGCAGTGGTCCATTGCCTGTGAGTATTGAGGCCTGAGCAAACTCGGAGATGGCTCCACCCATTCCACGTATTGCATCTGACGGCACACGTAGCAGGTATATGCTTCAGGTCCAGGGTTGGATTCAATCCCAGCCCTGAGGAGAAGTATGCGAAGAAGAGGTATCCCTATGGAAGTAAAACTTTTGAGGGATTTCGGCGACCTAAACGGCGTTAGATCGCCGAAACAACAGCCCTTTGTCGGGTAAACGCCTAGTCATTCCGGTACGTAAAACCGGCTGTCGTGGGAATGTATTGCAATAATAGTTGTGTTTAATGAGCTGCTCTAGGTTACGCCAGGTTAACATATTTCACAACTTTTTGTTTTATGAGCCTGCGCTAAGTGTAACCAGAGCAACTTAGAGCACGATTTTCTGCACCAGCTTCTTTGATGGAGTAACTTATACCATGTCCCCACCGGAGCCAACCACGCAGTTATGGCTGTTGAGTTGGTTATCCCGATAACACACTTGATTTAGCGTAGTTTCGCCATACAAAAATGACAGCACTTAACCATTTCACTGAGATGGTTAAAAGCTAAGACCATTTCCCCACCGGAGCTAACCACGTAGTTATGGCTGTTGAGTTGGTTACCTTGATTTAGCGTGGTTTCGCTATATAAAAATGACAAGCTAATACCATGTCCCCACCGGAGCTAACCATGTAGTTATGGCTGTTGAGTTGGTTATCTTGATTTAGCGTGATTTAGATGGTTAAAAAAAAACCAACTCAAAACCACGTCGAAAGTATGATACAACCCTGTGTTTTCGCGCCTTCTGTGGGTCCAAGGCGAATTTATACAAGGTGGTAGCAAGAATACAACAAACAACAACCACATGTATTTTGTACCAGGGGCAAAATGTCAAATCTCAATTCACATGCTATTCAGTGGCATGCTGTCAAATCAGTAGAAGCAAAAACAAAATACATGTAAGGCGAAGGAAAGAAGAAGAAATCAGCAGATTGGAGAACACCACCTCGGTATAAATTCACCTTGTGTCATTAGCGTTAAAATTTGAAAAATACGTTTGCTACCAGTGTTCTGAGTTCACTTCGATCAAAGTCGATTTACTCCGGGTTTTGGAAAAATTAACATCTACTCCTCTACTCAGCTTGACTTCAATTATACTCCATTTTTTCACTCATGTTCTGCCCCTCTTTGGGCCCATTTTTTGAGTGTTCACCCCCGGGTTTCAGTAAAAAAAAAGTTAAGCAAAGTCTCACTGATAGAAAGAAACTGGTTCATAAAAATGAGTGAAGAAAGCTACTTGGTTATTTTTTGATATATGGATGTAGTACTTGATGTATGCAGAACTTTATTTAAGTTTTAAAAACATATATAGAAAGAAATTTATATAAAGTATAAAAGGTTTAGGCCCAATTGTTCTTTAAAAAGGGTCTGTTGAATATATTATATTTTATTGAAAATATTAAAAACTTCCTTAATGTGTAACATATTATCTTTACATTGACCCGCGTTTTAATTTTTGCATGAATAGAAAATATTTAAGTCAAACAATTAATGTCGAAAGCGAAAATAAAGGATTCAAATCTAGTAAAATTTGGTTTTGGTCCTATTTTTGATACGATTTACTCCAGAATCGACTTTCAGTACTTCGAACACTGTTCTCTACATTTGAACTGTTTTAAAAACCTCGTCGCGGCAGGTTGTGGGAAATCGCTATTGAAGTTTGGAATGCAATTTCTCAAAAACGCGAAGATATATTTTCTCCAAAATCCCTGAAAATGTTACTAGTTCACAAAATTCTTAAATTATTTAATTTTTATTAATAATAATAATAATAAGGGATTGGCGATGCACATATGTTAGTGTTTGGCCGAGCTTCTCCTCCGATTTGTGGCGTGCAAGATGATATTTTTTCAAAATAAATTTTTATTGTCTTTGCAGTCCATACTTTTTACATTTTTATCCTGCTTTTATTCGAAATGTTTCTTACGTATGCGTTTTTAATTCTCCTTTATGAATTTTAACAAAAAATAATAATTTCATTAATAATTGTTTACCTGCTTTAAACCATTGCACATCGCACACCATCTACAAAAGGAGCACAGCTAAAAAAAAAAAACAATTAGGTAGATTTTTAGGCATAAATCAATTCGTAGGATTTATGTATCTTCAATTAATGCAAATAGTATTTCTTCATGATTATGTTCTCTAAATATAAAACTACTGTTAAGCCTACCTGTTTTTATATTAATTGCGTTGAAACTGTACAACCACTAGCAGTTATATTTTAGAATCTAATTTCTGAGTCGTGCCTCTTTTGAATATACGCCATATATGTATGTATGTATATAACGTTCTTTAGTACAAACGCTTCTAATTTGGTTTTCTTGGATATGCATAAATATGTATGTCTACCTACATAATTTGTCTGCATATGTACATAAATGCAATTAGCAAGGTACATATGTACTTACAAACATAATACAAATGTATTCAATACATAAATATGAGCACATGCATATGTGCACATTTATACAAACACTTCATCCATGTGCTCTGGTCGGGGCGGTCACCACGATGGAATTTGAAAAAAACAAGTTTTTCCTCGTCAATTGCAATTTTTTTGCATCGTTTGGATCATTGACTGGACATTCGTGTGCTTCAAATGGTCAAACGGTGACCAGCAGACAAGGCAAGCGGTTGAAAACGGATTCACTACTGAAACTCCAACAATAACAACAACAACAACTGCAATAGCTATTGCACCTGCATTTTCTGCGGTAAGACCTTTGAAAATGTGAATATACATACATATTTTGTGTGCAAGAAATATTTTTTCAAATACATATCGTTGTTTAAAGTACAAAACCATTTATCAAAGAAATCCAAAACCGCGTATGTGAGGTTGCATAAATTATTTTCTAGAGTAGAGTACTCATATTTCAAATTTGTTCTCTTTTTTATAAAGCAATCGCATTGCAGGACGAAAGGATAAAGCTTGAGCCAAGAGCTTGTGTGGGCAAATCCAATTTTTGGCATAAAATGTTAGTTACGCGGTTATGCAGAATGACGATACGCGTATTTATACTTTAAACGACGATATGTATGTATTATCAAATACGTTTGCTGAAAATTGCTACATTTTTTAGAAAACTACTTGTGACAAAAATTAATGAGATTATTTAAAATTAAAACTGGTTTAGAAGTTAACGCTTCGCGTCCTCTGTCGGACATCAGCAAATAAAAACGCTTGCATTAAATAAAAGTCGCTTGGTTTATGCCTATCAATTGAATTATATTAGCACAGTTTTTATTGTAATGAATATTTAACATACATATATATGTAACAAAATTCTTGAAATAATTAAAATATTTTTGTTTTAATATTACTATAGCTAGCCTGTATTTTACAATTACAAACACTGATTGAAACAGTTGTAACGAAACAGCCATCAACGGAACGACCGAGAATGAAAAGTGCTGCCATTCGCAAATTGAACGTCAACGGGTCCACATCTGCATCCAAGGGACAAATACCACCGTTGGAGGAGTTTTACAAGCAAATACCTGAAGATCAAAATTTGTTGCGTCCGGAGAAGCAGCTTCCTCAGCTGCATCAAAATCACGAAGAATCGAACGCAAACCCTACACAAGGAGGTAAGCTCTTTTTTTGTCTGAAATAGTTGCTCAACCCAATTGGGGTTGGACTTTAAAGAATATGTGCATATGTATGTCGGGTGAAAGGTATGCTGATGCAATAACCTTGACGAATTTTCTTAGGTTTTAGTATACATACACAGTTTATTAATAAGGGCAGCGTTTGATATGAAGATCTAGATAATTTACTTGACTTGCACATAATTATATAGTACACGATATATGTACATACAGATACGTACAATAAGCATATAATTTTGCAGATATATGCAAGTACAGTGCGTGCATGTCGCTGCTGGAAGAACGTCCACCTAAAACACCTTGTTTTTAGTTAACGATATCGGTGAAATGTATCTCAGAGTAAAGGAAATTTACCTTCCTCTTTCACATTTTTATGAAGTATGGAACTAAAGTAAAGTTTGATGGTACACAAGTTTATTTTTATTTAACGAAAAGAATCGATATCTATAGCATGCAATCGACTGTATAAGGCTGAATGAATAAAAACTGCAATTGCTTTTTATTGGAAAATCATTCCTTTTACTCGGTTTATTCAAATAAATTTAGATGATCTGAAATTTTAAGATTAAGCAATTGCTCATTTTTTATTCATACGGCTCAATGATGTACGAGTACTCAACCTTAATTGATTAGTGAGCATTAATGTGGATAGGAATATACATTTGCAAATATCGTCGCCTGGGTAAAAGATTGTCGTATGTTAATTTCGGTTGGTTGTGGGAAATCGCGATTGAAGTTTGGAATATAATTTCTCAAAAACGCGAAGATAGATTTTCTCCAAAGTCTCTGAAAATGTTACTAGTTCACAAAACTTTTAAATTATTTAAATTTTAATGTTTATTAATTAGTTTTGAGTTTATGAAGGATTTTCTTTAGGAAAATTTTGTCGTAAGCGCCATTTGTCCGCAATTTGGCAGCCACTTTGTATGAAATACGACAAAATGTGATGAAAATTTCTACTAAATTAACGAAACTTTTTACTCAATATCTCGGAAACTAAAGGAGATATCCAAAAATGGAGAAAGTCATTTTTAAGATATTGATTAGTTTAATATGGCTGCATCACTTACTAAATTATTACTTAATTATAGAAAAAATTGTAGTCAATATCTCGGAAACTAAACGAGATATATTTGAAAACTGAAAACACCAATCGAAAGACCTTATTTCAAAATATAAAACTGCATCTAGAACTAAAAATCGTCAAAATTGCGCTTACGACAATCTTTTACCCAGGCGACGATATGTGCCATGTTTCTTGGAAGTTGATTTCACCGCAATATTATGTATGATGAGTAGTAAATTGGCTTATGGTATCATTCTCTTTGTGCGTGACATAATTCAACAAGTCTTGTTGGTTATACATATGTACATTTAAAGCATTAATATACATACATAATTTTCAATTAAACTTGTTAAGTGAATTTAAATCGTGGCCACGCCCTATGAATTTCAATAAAAGTGACTCAGTTTATTCAATTGACACGTACTAATGGATAAAGAAAATGTAGATTCTGAAGCCGTAATACGCTTTTTGGGTCTGTGAAATCCAAATACATGCACGCATACCATAAATTTAGTTTCATTTCATTAGTAAATTAAGTTAGACGTGTGGAAAGCGAGTATCCTTTATAAAGTTTGCGAAATGTCCAATTTAAATAGTACGATATAATTATTTATTACAATTTATTAAGTATAACAATTTCTTTATCTATTCAAGTTTTTCCGAGTGTCGAAGACTGTTTATGTAATTGATGTAGTGCATTTTATATGTGCGTTTATTTGAACCTTCATATTCATTAGAAGTTTAATCTATATGGAGACTGCAAACATGTACATATGTAGAAGTAGTTGAATGATTTCCCTACCCAAACCGATGTCAAACTATAGTATATTCCGATATATAACTTACTACTTGCATATTCATATCCCAAATGATTAATGTACATGTACATATATAACTACATATATGAATTTACATTTAGTAATTAAATTGAAGGTTTTACCCCACCCTTGGCTATTGTGTTAAAAGTTATTTCAGAGAACTACAAATCTGTGCAGTTTCATTAGCTTCAACGTCATTTCTTATTTAAAAATATTCATTTTAAATTTTCTTATCTTAAAACAGAATCAAATCCCGATAATACAAAATCAGGCGCTGCAGTCGTTACGAACACAGAAAACGGCAAAATGGTGGCCGATCAAAACGGTTTGAATGATGGTGCCGATGAACAAATGCTAAATGGTGCTGAAGATAACGATAAATTAGCGGACAAACGAGAGGAAGTTAAGTTTATCAAAGGGGGCGATCATCAAAATGGCGATGCGAAAATTGATATTGGTGGCGTTAATGGAAAGGTAAAATTAAATACCATGTGCATATGTACATATATGTACATATATGTACAAAACAGCTCGTGTGGTCTTTTATAAATAATAGTTTCATATTGTTCTTACAAATATCTTTGTACGTTCAAAACATGAATTTATACCAGGATAAGGAGTCGGTAAGGCTTTAATAAATACATATTTATTTGATGCTTAAGTTCTTTATTATACTTAATTAAAATTTGTCACTTAAAAAAATTTTTATATTTACTTGTTATTTAAAAATTTCAGGCTTTCACTGGCATGACTAAGGAAGAACTCATGAAATATGCTAACGATCCATTTTGGGTGCGTTTACGTTGGATTTTTTTCATTGGCTTCTGGGCTATTTGGGCAGCTATGTTAATCTGTGCTATCCTTATCATTGTCGATGCTCCCAAATGTGCCGCACCTGAACCTCTGCAATGGTATAAACGTGGCCTTCTAGCAAAATTCGATGCATTCGAAGCAAGTGCCAGCAATATTGAGAGTGCAAAGCGAGTCGAAGCTTCCGGTGTAATCTATGAACTCCCCCCAGCTTTGACTTATTTAGTACGGGAACCGGCAGTTGAAGAAAAGATCAAAGACATTGTGGCTAATTATAAAAAGTTGGATATTAATGTCATACTGGATGTAACACCAAATTATGTTCCTCGTAACTCAACTCTTTTAAATGAGGCATTACAAGACAAATCGAAACGCTCAGCGTTCATATGGAAGGAGGATTCAAAAGAGCCGAGCAATTGGCGTTCCCTTCAGAACGGTTCCGCTTGGGATCAAATAAAACCGGGCAGCTATTTACTCTCCCAATTTGGTGTAGGTCAATATGATTTACAAATGAATGACAGCCTTGTTAAAAGTGAATTCGAAAGCGTATTGAAATATTTGCTCTCCTTGGGTGTTAAGGGATTCCGTTTGAAGAATACAAAATTCTTTTTACTGACCGACAATACACCAGATGAAGGTCCTGCTTCAGAAGGAAATTTCGTGCATAATGAGTACGGTTTTTGGACACATACCCATAGCACGTTCCAAGAAGGTCTCGGAGATTTGTTGTATGAATTTAAAATGTTTGTTAAGAACATTTCTGCAGATGCGTTCCTATCTGTAGCAGACGATATTTTACGTCCAGATGTTTATCGTACTAAAAACGGGGAATGGGGTATCGATATGCCTATATACGGACCACTTGTGCATTCACTAAGCGCATCCTCAAGTGGACGAAAACTTCAAGGCGAATTTGAAAATATCATAAATGCTGTGGGCAATGACACTTGGCTACAGTGGAACTTTGCCGAGCCCTTATCGGATGTAAACAATACCACCGATCCCACAGCAATCGCGCTGTTTGTATCTTTATTACCTGGTGTACCCGTCGTGGGAATGACAAACTCTTCACTTTTTAAGGAAATGCAGGAGCATGTTTTTACAGAAATTAAGCAGTTGCGATTGTCCCCATCATATATGCATGGAGAGTATCATGTTTATGACACGGAAGGATTATTTGCCTATACCAGGTAATATTTAAAAATTCGTTCTAGTATTTTAAGCACTGACATCTACTATACTCATTCAAATTACCGCTTATTTTTTTACTAACATGCAAACATTAACAGACAAAGGTGAGAACTTAAATTAACAATTAATTTTTAAGCAAAAAAAAAACTGACTTCATTTCTCATATAAAAATTTAATAGTAAATCAAATTGACGCAATATTATCGATTATCGTAATATGCGGTAACATACATAAAATAATAAAATATTCCGACGAATTGATATTGATTTTCTGAAGTCGGTAAAAAATACAAGAAATGATTATAGTGTATGCCTCCACTTAGCGTATATGATACCCGCAAACATATTCTCAGCGTTCAGAATATATGAGTCCGAAAAAAGTCCTAGGTAGGTAAGAAATAAGAGCTTCAAAAACAAAAAACAAAAATGTTTACCCCTTTAGAAAACGAAAAATTTAAATATGTAATTAAAAAACAAAATTTAGCTGCAGCTGCTGCTATTAATGGCATGTTGGAATGTACGTATATATCTGTGTTCGTATGGAAAAGTAGCTTATGTCGAAAGGCCGGCTTTAGTATAATGCGGCATTCCCTTTATTTTTTAAACGACAAGGAGTTTTTTGATGAGACTTTAAGAGAATATTGACGTGCTAGTACCGGAACTATTTCTTGCACGTTTATTTGCTAAAAGTTGTTTAACGGCTTAGCGCCCGTAAGTCATTCGCAATCGTATGCTGCGAATGCCGATTTATAGTTACTAAAGCCAGCCTTTCGACATAAGCTACTTTTCCATACGAACACAGATATGCACGTATGTATGCTATTTGAAAGAAATTGTTGCCTTTGCAAATATAGCGCATTCAATAAGACGCAAAGAACAACCTAAAATAAGGGTCCGAATGTAGTAATTTATGAGGCCGCTAAGAGCCTCAAAAAGAGTCTGAAATGATTCATATATAAGGCCAAAAGTTGCTTTAAAAGAGTCCAAAATGAGCCGTATATGAGGCCAATAAGAGTCCAATATGACTCATTTTTAGGCTAATTGGAAGTATGAATTTAAGCTCATATATGTCGACCTTCTAAGGAAGGGAAATACCTTCATATCGGACTCTTAAATGAGCTCATTATGAGCGTAAAAGCTTTGAAATAGGACTCCTTAAAGACTCATTTATGACTCCAAATGTTTGCTAGGATGTATTTTGGCTGCGTTTCTTTATACATTCCGGATAATCCCATTTCACAGCCGGAATAAACAGAATACGTTTGAAATATACGTTAACATATCATCAGGAACGTTCTAAAGAATAAGTAAACAAAAAAGTTTATTCCAAACGTTCAGAATGAATAAAGAAATTCAGCTTTTATATACTTCTGTATGTATGCTAACTATGTATGTAATTTTTTGTAGAATAAAATCTGGAAATCCGGGCTATTTTGTTGCCTTCAATCCATCAAACAATACAGTCAAGGGCGGTTTTAACCATACTTCATTGCCGGACAAAATGTCTGTCTATGCTCTAAGTGACAACTACAATATATCAAATGTTGTAGTGAAGTAAGTTTATAATAAATATTTAAAATATAAAAAAAATATAATTGTGTTCAATTTGTTGCAGGTCTAAGGTGCAAACCGATTCTTTGGAAATATCCCCTGGTGCTACAATTATACTTACATATGTGCCTGTAAAATCCGGTTAAATATAATATATTGTGAGGGTCCACCTTTAAAAGTTTGTGACAATTTTGTGTCTGCGAAAAATATACAATCGCCATAAGCGCAAGCTGTTAATCCATCTTAAAATTAAAGTTATCATGAGTTTAGTAATGTATTTGGAAAGTTTAATAAAAACTTCAAAATTGAGAGCATTGCAAAAAGTAATACTGAACTCGGGTTTTATTTCTTACATAAGAGTGCACACGATATCTACGTGAAAACTGAGAGACGCTTGAATCACATCGGGAATCATTTACTTTTTAAATTATAAGACGCCAATCTAGAAAAAACTTTGTTTTTTTAGATAAAGCCTGGCGTATATTTTTTTCTCAGTTTTATCCGTTGTGGGGCTTTTACGTAATAACATTTAAAAAATTCAATTGGTGTTAATTTTTTACACATATGTACATTACGTAACATTTAAAAAATTCAATTGGTGTTAATTTTTTACACATGTACATTAGGGTGCCCATCGAAAATGTTTTTTTTATAGATTTCAAAACCCTATCCCCTAATTTTGTTCGTAAGAAATATTATTGCCTTTTTTTATAGATTTGTTAAAAGCATTTATTTTATTTTTATTTTCCGTCTTGAAATGAACGTTCCGAGAGACGAAAAAAATAAAAATCCCGAATAATTATTATGAGAAGACGTAATCGTGTTCGTTTTGAAATAATCGTCCCAAAAGACGACAAACATCAAAAATCTCATATAATTATTATGAGAAGACTTAAAACATTTTCGTCTTGAAATAATCGCCCCGAGACGAAAAAAAAATCCCATATAATTTATATGAGAAGTCGAAATCTTAAACGCGAGACGAAAATAACTTTTCCATTAATTGTAGGGCAATATTTAATTTTATTTCTTACAATCGTTATGGTCTCTGTTTAAAGGTCATTTGAAGATCGCGACCTGTTGATTTAGGTCAGAAAATACGATTTTGTAGATTTATGAGTTTTGGAATTGCTATTTTTGATTCGATTTCAAAGATCGAATATGATCTGAGAAGAGGATATATAAGCCTTTAAAACTATAAATAATCTTCTATTGTCGGACTTGGCTTGTTGGGATTTTTTATCGCGTAAAATAAAAAAATTCATATACCTCTTAATTTTTTCAATTTTTGAGTATCGATAATTTCCACAATTTCAAAGTGTACTA